CTATTCTCGTCCACCCACCCCTGTAACCTGTCTAGGTCTGATTGTAGCCTATTCCTTCTTTCTAACGTACCCACATCCCCCCACATCTTAGTGTCATCAGCAGATTTGAACAGGGTGCTTTTTACCCCTCGTCCAAGTCACTGATGAAGGTGTTGAACAGTGCGGGCCTGAGGACCGAGCCGTGGGGGACCCCACTGCCCACATCCCTCCAGGTCAAAAATGACAATCCACCACCACTCTCTGGGTGTGGCCCTCCAGCCAGTTGGCGACCCATTTGACTGTGTAGGTGTCGACACCACAGTCCCCCAGTTTGTTAATGAGAACAGGGTGAGAGAGTGTCGAAGGCCTTCAGAAAGTCCAGAAAGACTATGTCCACTGCTACCCCTGCATCTAAATAACTGTACTCAGTTATTTATTATGAGGAAAGATCCCTTCCCTTGCCCCCTCCCCCCCTTCCTTCTGCCTTTCAAAAACACAGTGTATATCTTATTCAGGGGTGTATTGTATTTGAGCAGATGCAGTATTTTTCTTTGAGCCCCCTGCTTCATTTACTTCATGGCAAGGCCCTGCTCTGAGGGTAATGGTTTCAGTCAGAGAATATTCCGCTTGGACTCTTTGCTTCGCAAGAACAGCAGTGAATGAGGCAAGGGAAGGGATTGCAGGAAGAGAGCGACAGGTTTAAGACTTCTTACGGATGCCTTGAAGAACTGGATTCTACAGCATGCCTTTGTGACCACCTGTGTATTCTTTTTCTACTAGGTGCTCAACTTAAAAACCTGACCTCATTAATTTGGGATACCCAATTTAAGGTCATCTCTCTGTATCTCTGCTCCCCCCTGTGAAATGAGGTTATATAATTAAAATACTTTATGGGGGTTTCATGAAAGTTTTTATTAGTTTGTGAAGTGGTCGGAGTACCTTAGTGATGAGCACCGTAGAAGAGCCATCAAAGAAATGTAATCTCTCTCTAGCTGAAATTTTGAATAATGTGTAGTGAATAAGACCCTGGGGCCGCATACTAAACATCAAGGAGCGAATAAATTGAGCATAGTCCATTCTCTCCAGTATATATTTCTCATATTTACCTTGTGGAAAAACAATATCATACAGAGAGGCCATATTAAGGTTATAAAAGCCAACCTTAAATTGGCATTTCCTTATTTTTTAGGTTGATTTTTTTAAAACTTTTTTGCATCCTTTATTATAGTCTTGTAATATAGACTTGGTCTATATAGTTTTGTAATGTAGGCTTTTTTATTATAAAGTACATCAGTAACATGTATGTCTAAATTGAATGGATTAAATGTTAAACTACTTGGAGTTTTTATTAATGGATCTTGTCATTTTTTTAAAACACAATTTGAGATTTATTTCTTTGCATATTTTTCTAAGGGATGGTCTCCTGCCTTCTGTACCCCTGCATGTTTTTTTTTTTTTTTTTTTTTCCTACAAAAACCTGCACTGGGAAGATAAAGATTGTGGACTCAGAAAAAAGTGCAGTTTACCAATAAATGTTCTGTTTCATTTCTGAACTTGAAAGTCTGTACAGCAAGGTTCTGCACTCTACTACCCTTCATATGAAAGAGGAAAGACTTGTGGCATTTTGTGGGGCACTGTTATGAATGTGGAAAATTCTGCAGCTAATTAAATTCTGCACTTAACTAAAAAAACAAAACTGAATTTAATGGGCTTCAGGAGTCAGAGATTCCAGTTTTCAATTAGGCATCCAAATCCGTATTTTGGATTAACTAAGCACTTGGATAAATAACTGTAATCTTTAAAATTGGATTACAAAATCTATATTTTATCTTGAAGGAGTGTGGATTTTCTCTCATATATGATATAAAGCTAAAGAAAGGTCCAAGTGAAATATTAAGGCTTTCTTTTGAATTTTTTATTCTGAAAAACATCACAAATGCTATTTTATTCCATTGTTTTTCTTTCTGGAGTCTTACACATGCAATATGCTGCAATCAGAATACAGCTGAGTTTTGGTATATGCTGTCTCCCTGCAGTGAGATGTATTAGCAGTAGGCAGGTAGTTTCTTCTTCTAGACTGTCTTCTGGTAAAAGGAAGATATATCTTCTGAGCTATGTCACTCAGGATATAGACTGTCATAAGTGATAATATTTGTAGTTTTCTTTAAAGAGCTATGCAAAACAGACACATGACAGAAAACACTGAAGTGTTGTAAATTAGCTCTAATTGTATCAAATATGGCCCTTAATAAAACAGGGGCAACAAAATACTTCACTGTGAGGAGGAACCTTGCACTGCTTCCCTGTGAGAATGGGCTCTAGAGAGAGAAATGGAATCAAATGGTTACCAATCATACCATGTTACATTTCTACCCTCCAGCTAAGTAGGGTTAGTCTGCTGACATCCCACAGTGCTTTGCTTCCTACTGTCCCAAAGTGGCCCTTCTGTGACTCGCTCAATTCCAGTGCTCTAGGGTCACAGGGTCTGTCCAGTATCTAACCTTATTTTTTTAAAACTAGGTGTTGAGACACAGAGCAGTATCTGTTTCCTGGACTGCCACCTCAGGAACTTGGTTTCTCGAGTGTGATGCACTCTCAAGTATGTGTTCTCTTGCTACACTGCTCCATCTGCACACAAAAAAATGCCTGTGTCCCTGAAGCACTCCACTGCAAGTGGAAGTCATAGACTTTTTCCCCTTTTGGGTGGGAAGAGAATGCCCTCAGGAAAACCATATCATGGATGTATTAATATATCACAATAGATGTGGCAGCTCACGGCCACAAATAGGAATAGCATCAGTACTTGATCAAGGAGAAGGTCCTGAAGACATCATACAAGAAATAATGCGATACCAGCTGTGTTGGAGATGCAGGGATGGCAACATACTTGCTATAAGGAGCTGTCACTCATACTGAACAGAGACCCGTTCATTGAGTCCTCACAGATTTGAGGGTGAATCCAGAGCTATCCAGTGAGAGTGGTGATGTGTACCTGGAGGACCATGAGGAGATTCTTGCCCTCCCAGGCACAGTTCCAGCAGGGGCAGAAGGATATTGGGGAGTCTCGCCTCTTCCTGTCTAGGACTGCTGAGAAATATGTACCAGCCCTCAGGACAGGACAGCTTGAATGGCGTCAGCATCAGGGAGGACCAGCTGACCACCATATTGTCTATCCATCCCACCCTCATAACCAGCTGTCCTGCCATCATCCCACAACACCATCGTGCTGTTGTCCCACATGTTCCTTCTGCTACCCTCTCTCCTGACAGCCCTGGCCCTTACCACTTCCTTTCAGCACCTTAGGGCCAGTTGCTTGGAGGAAATGCTAAGGCATGATGGCTCAGAGGGAATGCCTGAATAGCTGGACACCAACCTGACTGGTAAGTACTTAGAATGTGGTGGCATCACTTGCTCCTCACCCTCCTCCCCAAACTGACTAGAACCACCAAGATCCGGGTTATGGATGACCGGTGTCAACAGCCGAGTCACTGAGAAATGGTAGGGCAAAACTTTGGAAATGAGGACTCTGTAGCAGCTTCAAAAGAAGGCAGAAATAGCCCTAGGAATCTGATTGTAGGTTTGTTGTGGGGCAAGCACTTTTTCCTATCTAGCACCTCCATGCACAGATAACAGTATCTGAGCACTCCTTGCCTGTCCCTTGTCCATAGCAACTATCCAAACTGAGGTCTCCCACTGCCTGCTGTTGAGGATCACCCATACATGGTAGGAGACATCTACCTTGCCTTTTAGGCAGTGCTTCTTGCTCCTCTGCTTGTCTTACCCAGCCTTTGGCCTGTAGGACTGATCCTTCCTTTTCCCAACTGCTGTTACCTGTCAGCAAAATCCCATCCCCATCCACACACCCTCCCTGACGTTCCTTTTGCCAGCTTCTTCTCAATAGGCCCCCTCTCCCCTTCCCTAGGATCCTTCCTGTTCATTACATGACCCCATGTTCCAGGCTATAGGAATGAAAGGAAAACACCTTGATTTCGACCTGTCTCTGTATGACAAATGCAGCAAACTGCTGAAACCCTACTGCACTTTGCAGTACCCATTCCTTTCCCCACTGCACTGACCATAGGAGCACTTATACATGTCCCTTACCAGCTGTTGGCTGGTTCTCCTGGCCCTGCAGCCCAAGACCTCTGGAAAGTTTGAAAAAGTCCTCACAAAAGGAACTAAGAAAGGGGGAAAATAGATCTTTTAGACAAAAGAATTGTTTGTATTTGCTTATGCAGAGAAGTGTAAGCAAAGCAGCTACTTTTTGAAGTGCTCACTTGATTCCATAAATATTCTTACTGATTCTCTTTCCCTCCATCAGTCAGATTTCCCTGCAATACAGCTTCTTCCAGAAATGTAAATTACAGAAGAAATCACAAACGACCAAATGAAAAGACCACCAGAGAAAGACCACCTCCTCCCTTCCCAGCCAGTTCCCACTGAGAGTTGTAGCCTGCTTCCAGGCAGTGCAGCAATGGACATGGGGACATGGGTTTACAGTTCACAACTGGAAACAAGTGGCTTGTCCCTTTAGTCACGGAGTCCTTGGTACACCATTGAAAATCCTGGGGAAAGTTTGTAGACTGTAGCTTGAGCAGGAATGCATCCAGGTAGGGCTGGAGATCTCTAGGAGATTCCCTGACAGTGGCATGGAAGCTTTGTGTTATATCTCCGATTCGAATGCTGTTATTTCCATGGGGTCCGTGAATGGACTAGAGTAAAAATTGTCCATAGATCAGCTAAGACACTAAGCTTTGGTAGAGAGAACTTTTGTGGGGAAAGCGTTTGGCATTTTGGCCAGCAGTTGCCTGAAACCAGAAAACCATCCTTGGGAAAAACTGGTCAAAGGTGAATAACCAGCCCTTTGGCTTTGAGCTTCTTTTTCTTGAATGAGTCAATAGAACACCATACTGTGACCCAAGCCTTTGGAGAGGTATTCGCATTTGGTGTTGGGCAGCCTTGCTCTGATGTTGAAAGGCAGACTCTCTGTCTCTCCAGAGTGTGAGGTAGAATCGTCTGCAGCATTAGATAGGGTGCACAACTTTTGGCAAACTCCTTATATATTTCCTTCTGTCTGATGCTGAAGCCATGGAGGAGAGTCCCACCAACATAAATCAGAGGCTTGCAGGGTTAGGGAGAACACTAAGAACATCAGGCTTCAGAGGCCAACCTTGACCTTCCTCCTCCTTTCAAGGTCCTATCCCCATGCTAATTATAGGCAGAATTGTCTGAGTGAGGAGTGCCTTACACAAGTTGACCCTCTGCCTGCAAGGTCAATGAAGGCAGCGTATGTGGAATACTATGGACTGGTGTACTTACTATTGCAGGAGTCTGAAGAAAATGTAAATAAGTTTCTGAGAAGGCATGCAAAAAATGGGGATTTATAACTTACTATTAAGCCATGTTTGTTTAATGACAACTCTTGTCTTTATTGTCATTGCAGGGTCCAAACCTGCAGCCATGACTGGTCCAACAAGTGCTGATAGAGGTTTGAAGGACACAAGCTGAGACTGCAGCTTAGAGAGGAGCAAAGATGAAGAAAAGTGGGGGGGGGAAGCAAAAAGCAAAGACTTGGTAGCATCCCCAGAGAAGAGAACTATGGGATCAGAAGATTGGCATTTTTGGATGGAGAACCATAGGGACCATTGTGCTGACCTGGTTAGAAGCAGTGTTTCCTAGACCATGTGTACTGTTGTGTTTCAGGCACAGCAAAATGCTGAAGCCACCACTGAGGAAGCTGGCCTGGAAAAGCAGACCATGGACATGCTGGTGCAGAACCTACATACAGAGACGCATGTCAGTCTCTCATAGACACTTTCAGTTAGCAGATAGAGAGCACTTAACCCATTCTCCATTTTACCCACAATGGCTGGACCTATCCCTGCTGATCCATAGGCACTGGACTTTGTGCTCCTACCTCTGCACCAGCACTTTCCACCTGACTTCTAAATAACCCCTCCAGCTCCATGCCCTCCCCAATGGATAAACCTTTGTGCTTTAGACAGGGCCCCCTAGCCCTTGCACCCATGTCTTCTAATCCCACACCTCTACTCCGTGCCCTTAATTACACATCCCCTACTGAGAAGAAGACCAAGCCTTTGTGTCCAAGTACTCTCCCCTTCCCTCTCCCCATGCCTCTCTTTTATCTAGCCCTTTCAAACAACCTAGCCAGCCACTATACTATGAGACCCCAGCACCCCTACTCCAGCACTGGATGGAGCTCCAGAATGCTGTCCCCCCCAGAAGATTTGGACACACGGAGGCAAAAACAGAAGTCTTTGACCTTGTGGGGTCTTACACGCTTCATCACAGAGGAAAACTGTGGTGTGGGACTAGTCCCTTTGATCCCTTCAACTAAGTGGGTTAGCATGCTGTTCTGTCACTCTCCTCGAGGACTTAGTGAGCCATTGTTGGCAAGGCTTGTGGGCCATTTTCAGGGAGCATTCTTTCCCCTTCCTTTCCTTCAGTTCACCTAACAGTCACCACATACCTCATTCCTCCTTCCAGTTTGCAAAACACTTTCTTTATTTCAAGAGCACAGCACACAGTATTTAAATGTTTTAAAATGTTTAATAAAATGTTCTTTGGGTCTAAACGCAAACTAATTGTATTTTGCATTTGGGTCTGCATCACACAGCAATGCCTGCCTCCCACTCAGTCTGGCACTGCTGAAAGTAGTTCACCAGGACTTCCCTCAGGGGAGGATCCTAATAGGTGTTGTCCTTGAGAGGCTTAGTCTCTGAGGCTGGCACTTGCTGGCAAAGCTCTGGGTCTCCACTTCCCTGGCCTTGCATATATTAGGGAGGATGTAAGCCAAAATGATCATCCAGGTACCACTTGTTATCATCCAAGCACCCCTGTGGACCTCTCCACTGTGTCTTGAGGTGCTCAAAGGCACATTCCAGTGTCTTCTGTCAGGTGTTCAGGCAGTTATTGAAAGGCTCTTTCCTGATTTCCAAATGTCTGGTACTTAGGTTCCTAACCCATGGGAGACATGGATAAGCTAACCATAAGAGTAGCAGGGGGAGGGGGTTGTCACTCCTCCAGCTCTTTGCTGGGAAAGCCATGAACAAACACTCCTGGCATCATCAGAGACACAAGGCTAGAGTTCCTGAAGACGCTAGTTTTATGGATCTTGTCCAAGCAGTGTCTATGATGCAGTACAACCGTTTACAGTTGATGTACTCAAAGCAGCAGTGCACCCCAGGCACTGAACGTAGATATGGTTGGAAATGTAGTTGCCATCAGTGGTTTCAGTGCAGTTTGGAAAGCCATCCAGACAAATCCAGCCGTGACCTGAAACGGGTGAGGCAGTAGAAACTTCGTACCAGCACCTTCTGGATGTCACAACACACTTCCTGGACATCTGATTCAGTTGTGGATATTCTTATACCAAGGTGGTTGGTGATAGATCAGGTCCTCTTGAGTTGGTGACTTGCCTCCGGCGCAACGTATCTTAGGAGCTTCAAGACTATTTGCTTGTCTTGTGTGTCTGCCTGAAACAATGCTTGTGTGTCTCATGCCTGAATGTGGTCCCAAGGGAGGCCACCTTTCTTAGTATCCCTTAACTGCTGCTTCTGGCATAAAGCTTCTGGATGGACAGAGCATGGAGATGCCTTTCATATGCTAGGGGCACAGAGCTTAGGCCTTCTAGCAGGCAGATGTGCTGGAAGAATATGGAAAGCATAGCCAAGTATGTGATGATTCTTCAGGGGAGCAGAGCTAGTACACAAGAGATTGGAAGGAGAGGAGACAGTAGGACTCCATTCCTTGTTTCCACTGGGAATGCACATGAAACTGACCAACTCTGAAGTGTCAGGAAAACTGAATAGAAGCCTGGGGGTTCAAATATCCATAAGGTTCTGCTGTTGCTACTTGGCTGTTTTCAGACTACTACTTACTAGCCACCTAGCTGTGGTGCTGTACGGCAGGATGGAGAGCTGGACTATGGAGCTCTGTGGGCCAGATCCAGGCTGCGTATTTGACACCCCCAGTTTGTCTGGTACCAATGTGCTTTAAATTAGAAGCAGCTAAAATGAATAAGGAATTGAAGTGTTTCATGTCTATGTCTGTCAGTAACCTTAAGTTCCAAGTTTCATTAGATGAGGCATATTCCATGAACTAATTACAGAAGCTCAATATCAAGGGATGTTCCTACTTAGATAGGAGGCATATATTTAAGACTTTACTTGAACATAGTTCAGTCCTTTGCTAACCTATTTGTTGAGGATAAGTGTAGTACCTAATTACAAAGTTGTTGGCCCTTTTTGCTGGCAAATATTTGTCATGTGAAAAATGGTCTGGATGGGAAAGAAGTATACTATTACCATTACTTCCATAAAAATATTCTCTTCTTTTTAAGCTAGCACAGTAACTGAAGTGTTCAAAAGTGTTTTTGACTACCAAAACAAGTTTTTTGTTAGGGCAGTCAGATAAGCCCATCTCTATTGATTACTGGAAATACTCAAAATGATTGTCTAAAGATCATTTCATACAAAAGGGCAAACAAAAAAGAGTAATGTAACTCAATACAGCAGTTGGGCATATGCCTGAAAGGGCAAAATTCTTTATAAGTATCAAGAGATGTAAAGTCCTTTCCAGTAATGGTTTGTCTTAGAGGGACCTTTGATTGAATGAGGTATATGACTATGTTCTTATCCAGGGGTGGGCAATTATTATGGGCAGAAGGCCGTTTACGAAGTTTGGGCAAGCTGTCTAGGGCCACATAGGTAGCCCCGCCCCTTGACAGGTGCCCTGCCCTCTGGTCGTCATCTTGTGTCTGGAAATCCCACCCACTAACCCCTGACCTTTGCCACCAGAAGTCCTTCCTTTTGCCCCTGGGAGTACTCCTTTCAGCAATGGGTTTCCCCATCTCGGAACGAGAAAAATACCAAATTATATTCTAAAAGAAAACATTTACAACATTCATTAATTTGATTTCAAAAAATATTTTTGTCCCGATTTACATGTGTTTGTGTAGTGTACGTGGAAGTGATTGCACAATAGCTTAAAATGAAGTCTTACTCTTGTATATTCTGGGGTGTGGGTATAGGTTTGTGGGGGGCTGTGGGTATGTGGGGTGTGGGGAAGGGCATGGGTGTGTCTCTGGGATGGATAGGTGTGGGGTGAGGGAGCATGTGTGTGTGTGTGTGGATTTGTGGGGTGTGGGTGGGTATGGGATTTGTGAGAGGCTGTGGGTTGGAGGAGGGTGGCTGGGCTGTGTGGGGGGGTGGGTGTGGGGGTCTGTATGGCAGTGCAAGGGGGGGTGTGGGTGCATGTGTATGGTAAGGTGTGCATGTGTGACTTACCCTACAAACACACACGGTCTCTGTTGCTGCCTGCACACACACGCACACCCTTTGCCCCTGCCTATACACGTACACACACATACCCTCTGTCCCTGCCTAAACACACACCCCTCCCACTCCCGTCCCTGGGGTACTGGTGTGGCTCACGTTCCCCAGTCTGATGATGCAGCCTGGGTCCACATGGTGCTGAAGCAGTGTGGGGGCAGGAAGGCAGGGAAATGGCTGGGGGTAGAGCTGCTTGATCTAATAAAAATTAGCAATTTCCCAGTTGGTCTAATAAAAGGTATCATTTTCAAACCAAGAGTTCTAGTTTTTTGTATGCCTTCTGTGCTGTAGTAGGCATTTCATTTCATGACTGAGGTATGTGTCATGCCTTTTAGCTGGATGTCAGCTATTTGAAATCTGGTCACTAGTATTTCACCTGTGTTCAAAACCTGTGTTCAAAACCTGTGTTCTGAAAGTGGTGACTCTGCTGCATCAAAATACTAACCTCATTCCAAAATTGTTTATCCTTCCGAATCATGTATTCTTAGTTTCTCCTTTACATATAAAATTCCTTGCCAAATATTCTTTAGGAGACTATTAATGCATGCTGTATTAGAAAGGAACAGAAAGGAAAGCATAAGGTTATTAAGATTTTTAGATTGAAAGATTGTTATGACAAAGGACCAGCTCTCTGTTTATTCAAAGTCAGGATTACTAGAATCTTTGGATACTACAGATGCACAATATTAAACAGTTTTTGGTTTGTTTTGCAGGGGGGTCTAAAGGCCTCAATCAGGATTAACTTCTCCCTCTCCAGAGTCACTTCTTAAAGGTGCTTGCACCAGAGAAGAGGATCAGTGCAAATTTAACTTAATAATTTTTGTTTTCCTTTCAAGAAGTGACACATAACTCCATAGAACTTTTTTAATGGTTTGTAAAGTAGTATCATGATAATTTGAATACAGCTCTATTCTTTCTACAGACAGCAAATATTTGAAGCTTAACTATGGATTATTTATTATTTGTATTGTATTACTATGTCATAGGACTCTGATTAAATAGCACAGGACACCTGAATTTCATGGTTTTAATAATGATGACAATAAGATCTGTATTTGTTTTCTGGCCCTCTCCAGTTATGTGAGCTTGATATTTCATTTTGAATGGGTGAGATCTATGGATCAGTGATTACAGAGATGGTGGAGGGTTTGTTGGTTGGGACTAAGAGCCAGTATTTATTATTACAAATTTGGGAGTTCTGCTTGACTGTATATTATTTTTAGTCACTCATATTATTATATTAACAAGGTTACATATATGCTGGGGATTTAAATTCTATAAATATCAGGAGGTGGTGTGATTTGGTAGCCAAAACCTAGGCCCATGACCTCCTACCGTACCCCCACATCCATGGTCATCATCCAGCACGGACATTAACCTGATGTTGGTAATTGCAATTTCAGCCTTTAAACCTTGACTATAAATGAAGCATTTTGTTGATATTTCCAGGAAGATTTCTCCAAAATATATGGAGCAATGTGGTAATAAGATACTTGGCTGAAATTTTAAGTGGTTGTAAAAAATGGAAGATACAATTCCTATTTAAACATTCATCCTTGCATAGACACCAAGTGCTTGGGGGCCCAAGGGGCCTGGCCCCACCCAGTAAGAGGACAGTCGGCCCAAGCCTGAGGAAAATTATGCAATATTTCTTAGGCACAATGACCGAGGCCAGAGATCTGAGTTTTCCATTCACAGGAAAAATGCAGATTTTCTCTTTTAATGGTGAAAAGCTTAGGAAACTGCATGTTTCCCTTCGCATGCTGGCAGAGCTCCATCCTAGAAGAGGCTGCTTGGGGCTGGGGGAGAGCAGGGAGGGTAATCGGAGGCAGGGGGCACCAGATGTGTGTGCACATGCACATACATGTGGCAGCCAAGCATTGGTGGAGAATAGCTCCTGCAGCTCCCTCCAGGTAAGTCTATGGGAATGAGGGGAGGGGACCCAGGCAATGCAGCCAGAGTGTACAGGCGATGCAGCGGAGAACGGTCAGGGGCCCAAGGTGACATGGGGGGCACGTGCCCCCCAAGATTTCTGCACCCACAACAGGGCACAGGGCTGCAGCTGGATTGGACCAGCTCTGAGCAGGAGCTGCCTCCACAGCCCAGCTGGTGGGACCTAGTGTAGGCAGGAGCACCACACTGACTTGGCTACCAAGGTCAAGCATAGTGGCAGTGCAGAGTTGTGCCCTTGCTGCTGCTGGGTGGGCAGGGAGCATCTCAGCTTGGCAGTATGGCGCTCCCTC